CCCCAAAACCCCAAAACCCCAAAACCCCAAAACCCCAAAACCCCAAAACCCCGAACAAGAGAACAATTTTGAAATAATTAATTATCAATCCACTAACCTCTGTTTGCAAATAAGTTTAAGAAGTCTGTACCCAGCGAACTATGGAACGGCAGTTTGGTCGTCTGAGATTTAAAGTCCTAAATAAATCAGTAAGGGAGCAAATATGTAGACTTACGACTTCACCCTCAAGCTCATGCTCATTGTTGTCATTAAAGAGATCATTAAAATCAATTCCTTCAGACTGCTCAGCATTATCAAACGGCATCTGGTGAACGAGTTTGTTAGAATCTTGGAAGGAGTCCTTATTTTTCTTATGATTCTTCGCTCTGAGGGATCCCTAAATTCATGACTAAATTTTATTACAATTCCACGCTTCTTCCCAGCAGTTTTTGAAGGTCTCTTCCTAGTGCTAGAATCTACATCCAGCAGCCCGTTGATGAAATTGTCCTGTGGATCGATATCATAGTTGTAAATATCAAGTTTCTTCTTATTCTGCTTTGGGCTTTCAGTCACTAAAATGCTTAAGATAATCCTAAGATACCCTTATTCCATGCTTTCTTCGCTTCTCTCTTCTTATCGTCTAGGCTGATCATTGTTTACACTTACTGATTTTAATCCTTTTACCTTTACTCTGTAAAGGCCTGTTGAAATTAATGCTCACAGTATAATTATGGCCATCTGGCCTTCCTTCTTTCCCACTGAAGTTGAGTAAGGGATTTGTTTCAGACATGGAGTTCCCTGGCCCTGACTTCCTTGTGAATTTTCCATGAGAGAGATGCTTGTAGTTCTCCTCAGTGTTGAAATCTAATTCTAGTAAAGTTTAAGAGAGTCTAACTTACCATTATCCTTCATGATGTTTATAGTTCCGTTTTTGGATTGGTGATCTGAGTTCTAGAAATGATATGGTTTACTAAAATACCTTCCTGATATTCCTGAACTCACTCTTTCCAGTCGTAGGTCTCTATAGGGAATTGTGCGAATTGATACCTTAAGTGTTTTCTTGACTTCAGTACCTTTTGAAAAATTCAAAGGGATATTCTTTGCGTCAGAGGAAATATTGTATCCTCCATTACCGAACCAATTTCCTTCCATTTTGGTATCCCTCGTCTGAGGTCTCCTACAGATTGAAATATGCAACCATACGTTGGTCTGGTTTCTTCTTCATCAATAAAATGACTTGTATCATCTTGAGGGATGACTCCTTCCATTTCGTACACTTTTTCAAAATTTATATTTACAAAGGAGTCTTCCTTTGAGGCTTCTTCTTTATGGGAATTCTCAAAGAACCAGGGGCATCCTTTGTAATCTTCTTCCTGGTTTTCTCATTCTTTAGCAAGGTCAACGTCTAAAGATTTTAGAATGAGAAATATGGGTACCTTTGACTATAGAGTTAATGAAAGTGTGAACTTACTCTTTTTCTCATTGGCTCTCCTATCCTTCATTGGAAAGCTCTTTCTACCTTTTTCGCTAACTAAGGATTAGTGAATAAAGAAGTACCTCTAGCTGCATCTGCTCCTGCAGCTTTTGAAGTGATGGGTCTTTCATCTATAATTTTATAAGAAAATAGTACTCTGTCCTCTGAGATCAATTCCTACACCTCTTCTTGCTTGTCAAGGAGTATATTTAGAGGAGAATTCATTCATCGGAGCTGGAATCCCAGTTGTCAAAATTATCTCTGAAGTTATTTGATTCCCAGGGTCATCGATTCCAATATCTTCTCCATATTCAGATCCAATGCCAAGAGCTAATGACGGCTCTTTTTGACGACTTGGAGGTCTATCACTGAACTCGTGTTTGTGAAAGTTACCCTCTTCGAAATGTTCATTAGTCTGGAACTTATTACTCACATCACGAAGCTGATTCTCACCAAACCCATTCATATTTGCAGGGTAGGAGGAGTAGTCATCCTGTAAATTCTTGTCAAAAGCGTTGAGGACCTTTTTGCCACGCAATTTCCTTCTATTAGCTGGTTTAGCAGATCCTAATACTCTTCTTCCCTTCTTAGGTGCAAGGTCATTATTATCTTGCTTCATTCCTCCAACAGCAGTAATCGGACGGTTAGGTTTTTCAGCTGTATTAGAAGATACCAAGTGCATCTTCTGGCCACTAAGTCTTCCATTTTTCCCATTGCCTACTTGTGGAGTTTTCACTCTCATTTTTCTAGAAATTCTTGGTCTTGTCTGGCTTTTCTGGTGGAATCCATAAGGATTTGCCTCATAAGCACTTAGGCCAGCCCCAGCAGTAGTCTGTCTCTTATTTCTTCTGTGATAAAACTTCTGAGAACCTATTGCTCTTCTTGGGATACTTTGTTACAGGTTCTCTATCTTTGCCCATGGGGAACTTTTGAACTCTAAAAATAAGCCTAGAGACATACCTCATTGGAGTGTTCCTCTCTGAGAAGTTATAGTGTGAGTACCTGACCTTTGTGTCTCCAGAGTTCCCTTTTGATGAGTCTTTAGAAACTGGCCCTCCTTTAGTCATGCCATCTTTCTAGGGATAGTTAGGAAAATGTTAAGTTCATCTTTTTAAATGAGATCTGAAAGCTTGTTTTTGGTAATTTAAAGCAATTTTAGGGTAAAAATAGATAGAGGATAAGTCTATAGACAGAAAAACCTTGTCTTAAAGAAAGCTAATTCAAAAGCTATGAAATTTGATAATTTTTTTGGAAATTAGGAAAGTCGGTCATAATTTTATCACTTTGAGCTCATGGGTCTCTTAAAGTTCATTTTATTTTGCAGCTTTTGATCAAATCACTTACTTTATCAAAGCTATTCTCATGATTTCCACCTATAAAATCTTGATAAGATCATTTCTAACCGAATATTAACCCAAATCAGGTGCAGAGAATGATAGTTTAAGATTTCAGCTACTATATTAAACATAATAATTTTTTTTATCATTACAATCTAGTAAAGAAGGTAGATAGCCTCCCTTAGCGAGAAGAAACCGCTTACCATACATATCATTCGGCTGTGAATAAAAATTTTCCATTTCTAAAATTTATAATATTTTCAAAGTCTAAAAATTACTTGGGGTTTTGGGGTTTTGGGGTTTTGGGGTTTTGGGG